GAAAGAAAAAACATGCAAGATAGAGGCAGAAAGTCTATGGTATTATTCACCTACGTCAGGCTTGAAATGTCATTGATTATCAACAAAGGTTTACCTTTATCTTAGTTACTTTGTCATTGCAGTCACAAAATACCAACCACCCACAAGTTGAAGAAAGAAAGGTTTATCTTACCTAACATTGTGTAGAGGTTTCAGTCCATAGTTGGCTGGCGCCAAGGCAGTATGGTATGTAGAGGAGAAACAATCCAAGTCATGGCAGGCAGGAAGCACTTAGCTCTCTTTCCTTTTGTCCCATTCAGGTACGAGCCTGCTGGTTGGTGCCACTCACACCCAGGGTGGGCCTTCTGTCCTCAGTAAGTCCATTCAGCCAGCCCAGAGCTACGCTGACCTAATCAGTGTGTTCATCCAGTGCCATGCACCCTTAGCCCAGCATCTCAGAGCCCTGATCCCACTACCTCCAAAAGTCCCACCTGTCAGGGCATGAAGCATGGGAGGATCATGTAGATATGAGCCATAACAACCTTTCAGAGCTTGAGTACAGGACAGACTAATTCACCCTAGACAGCCAGAGTGTGCTCCTGCTGTGCAGCAGACACTGTGCTTCCTCTTCCTGCTGTGATAGTAACTGGGCCACCTGGGGAGCACAGGGAATGTGCAGAACTTGTAAGCAAAGGTGCTGGGGCACCTCTGTCACAGAGGTTCAAAGATGAACCCACATTCCTTACAGTTCTCCTCTCTCCAGTGATAGAGCCCTTTATGTTCCTTTGAACAGCCCATCAGTGTGCTCAGTAGATTATAGCAGGAGCTGAAAGCAGTTTGGTAAACATTCGGAGCCAAACTAGAAGTAGATGAGATGAAGACTGCTTTTCCCGTAGTGTATCAGTGATTTCACATCTGTATTTTTCTTTTTGTTTCCTTCTCTTTGTTTTCCTGTTATCCTAAAGTGGAAGTATGTATCAAACTAGAAAAAAAGAACGGTTTTGTATGATTTTATTTAAAATAATTTTCTATAGAATACAAATTATGTGATTTAATTTCATGTGGATGAATTTTCTCCAGATAGACAATGAGTTGGTGCATTGCTTTCTCTCTTTAGTTATTGGACTCTAATTTTTCTCACACATTTTTCTTTTCAGTATTTTTAATAGTTTTTTTTTCATCTTCTTTGTGGTATTTTTGTATATATGTATATTTTAAGTTCTATTGCTTCTTACTGGAAAGAATATTAGAGTGACAATTATCAGAATACTTACAGAGATTAAAGAAATGTTAGATAATTTTTGTTTATCTGTCCCTGTTTTGTATTAAACTAAAAATGAAGTGACATTTGAAAACATTTACAGAGCACTTGCTTTTAATTACAAATATCATTTATTAAGCACTTTGTCTATATGCAGTGCTAAGTTCTTTGTGTGCATTTTTTTTAGTAATGAGACCTACTCTGAGCAGTGAGTACTGATATCCTGCCTTGACGTAAGAGTACACTGAGCCTCATTCAGATGAATGATAAAATACTGAAATTTACAAATTTATAAATGGGACAAACAAGATTTCAATGTAAGTTAATATGATTATAGAGCCTGGAATTGTAGTCTTATGTTTACTGTCTGTCTTAATCAGGAAGAGAAGGTATATCACGACTGTGATTAATCATAGTACTTTGAGATAGGACAGCACAACTTACAATCCTGGTCACCAGCTTTTGTATATGAGTGTAGCGCCCTGGCCTATGCTGCTTTTAATTGGTCATTGCCTGGGCTGTAGTTTTTTTGTTACTTTTGATACAGCCCTGATCATTAGTGTAAATATTGTATAGACTGATGACTGTTAAGTAAAACACTTAGTAGTGACATACACAACATTAATACATAAATGATATATGTGTTATACAATAGTAAACCATCGTTTGATGAAGACGTATCAGTTGACTGTACATTTATTGAGGTCAGAGACCATCTTCTACAGTTTTTCTAGTTTACAGTGTCTGAAGAAGTGTTAAATACAAATTGGGTGAATGCTTTATGTGTGTGTGATTGTTAGTGCATTCAAGAGCCAAATTTCTGCACCTTTAGGTCCGAGAAGGCCGGACCACCATTGTGATAGCTCATCGCTTGTCCACAGTTCGCAATGCTGATGTCATCGCTGGGTTTGAAGACGGTGTCATTGTGGAAAAGGGAAATCACGAGGAACTCATGAAAGAGAGGGGTGTTTACTACAAACTTGTCACAATGCAGGTCTAGTACCTCGAATTTTCTCAAATTGTCTTAGTTATAAACTGATATTGCTGTGATTTGTGCTAACAGTAAATATTATTTGATCTCATGTTGAAAAGTAGGAAAAATACTTAGGGGAGTCAGGAAACGTTGAATGTTTGTCTTAAAAGATAAGAATGTAAGAAGGATAACAATACAAAAGGATTAAAGGTAAGCTCTGCAGTATGGGGGCCACTAGCCACAATGGCTACTGATCATTTGAGTGGTGGTTGAACTGAACTGAAATGTTGCAAGTAGAAAATGCAAGCAAGGCCTGTTAGAGAGAATGAGAACTATGCCAATGATTTTATCCATAGATTGCATATTCAAATGAATATATCATTAGAATCAGTAATATCTTGGATAATTAATCTTGGTTTTACCTCTTTGTTCATGTTTTTTACCGTGAGTCCTACAAAATTATAAATGAGAAATGTGACTCACATTTTGTCTTGATTATGTATTATGTATTCTGTTTGCTGTGGTTCAAAATGAACTTGATTTAAGTCAAATAGTTACAGAATGAAAACAACCAGATAAAGTATTTGAAAGAAATATCATGTTATTTTACTATACCCAGTAGGAATCCTTCTTTTGTTGTTTTTTTTTTTTGTTGTTTTGTTTTGGTACCAGGGATCAAATTCAGGACCTTGCACTTGCAAGGCAGGTGGTGGTAACCACTGAGCTAAATCCCTGGCCCAATCCTTCTTATTCAGTCATTTTTAATTTCAAGTATATATTCCAAAACTAATAGTGGTTTAACACGATCCCCCCCGCCCGCCATACTGGGTATTGCACTCAGGACCTTGTGCTTGCGAGGCAGGCAGCAGCACAACTGAGCTAAATCCCTGTCCCTAACACCATCGTTTCTTGTTATCACTTAAATTATCATTTCCTTGCTGTCTGATGTTTAATTGTCAATTTTCATTACTTTCCTGAGTCTAACCAGCTTATGCATATTTCTTGTTTATTTTAGACAGGAGGAAATGAACTTGAATTAGGAAAAGAAATTTTTGAATCCAAAAGCGAAATTGATGCCTTGCTATCTTCAAAAGATTCAGGATCCAGTCTCCTAAGAAGATCAACTCGCAGGAGTATGCGTGCATCACAAGGCCAAGAGAGAAGGCTGAGCACAAAAGAGGCGCTAGTAAGAAGGACAGCAGCACTCTGTGTCCTGTGTCCTCCCTCGGGGCTCCTAGCTGCGTGGGCTTGCAGTCCTGTAGGAGCAGGAACGAGAAGTGGTTTTTCAGCATCTTCTGTTCTGTCTTTCAGAATGATTCATAATGCAAGGTGTTGATACTTCACAGTCAGTTAAAATTTGAGATTAAGAAATCACCTGAAGATTTGTAGACTTAGAATTTAAAATTTCTGTGATTTATCAGTACTTACAAATATTCATGTCATCTTCTGAGTGCCAGGCCAAGAGTTAAAGCTTTGTTGAAACATCATTTCTGAAAAATCTAAAGGGTATAAAAACAATAGAAAGGGTACTTTTATTTGAAATAAAAGCACTTTTATTTGAAGAGGAAACCACCAAGAATAATAGAGCACAGGGCCAAGGATTTAGCTGAGTGGTTCTGCTGCCTGCCTTGAAAGTAGAATGCCCTGAGTTCCATCCCCATTGCAAAATAAAAAAATAGAGTATATTTATTATTTTTCATTTGTGTATATGGTTGAACTATACATCATAAGCTACTAATTTTTAAAAAACAAGCTTATTGTAATGTTTTATGTTTCCTAGGATGAAAATGTACCTTCAGTTTCCTTCTGGAGGATTTTAAAGCTGAATTTAATGGAATGGCCTTATTTTGTGGTGGGCGTGTTTTGTGCCATTATAAATGGAGGCCTGCAGCCAGCATTTGCAGTAATATTTTCAAGGATTATTGGGGTAACTGGTTTATGTCTATTCTTTTTTGCATTTGCTTAGAAGTCCTGATGACGGAGTGACTGCACTGTTTGTATTTGTACTAGTACACACTGTGGCAAAAAACATGACCTTTCACGTGAAACCATACAATAGAAGTCTAGTTGGTGAGAGGAAAGCTGACTTTAGAAAACTCTGTCCTGGTTTCTATCCTGTTGACTTCTATTGTAGGTCCTTGTGGAATAGCTCCCTAAAATAGTGAGAATCTCAAGATGACTTTCGTATCCTGCCATCATTGGGCTCTAAGCAAAACCTTTTCAATATCTGGTAGTGGAAAGAAAACTACAAAGCAACAGCTTCCTAAAGAAGTTGATAAGAAATGGTCACATTGGTTTTACTTTGTCTTAATGGTGGCTTTTTTGATAAGAAAATTATAATCTGGGCAGACCTACTCTTTCTAGTGACCGACTTTCAGCTATCAAGCTGAGAACACCCTTACTATACTGCTGAAAACCTTGAGATTACCCTGAAATACTTGAAATATTCTACTGAAATACTTGAGAATGTCATATTGCTGAGTGATCACCACAAAACTTAAACCGTACGCTAACTTTTGATTTTACAGGAAAAATGCTGGATTATTCAAGTCTACTGTTCCTTGGCTAGCTCATTTCAGGTTGATATTTACATTTATGTTTTTCTGCTTATATGTTAAGGTAGGAAGATCTCAAGTTTGATGCCAGTCAAGGCATCTTATCTCATCTCTGTCAAAAAATAAAAATAAATGATCAAGAAATATAGCTTAGTGTGAAGCCCTGGGTTGACTCTCTAGGACTACAAACAAATAAACAAACAAAACCCAGTATCTTCTTTGTGCCAAGTATTTTTTTTATACTGAGAAAATAGCAAGGCCCCAAATGTCTGATCTCTTGGAACACGTACGCTAGGTCAGGGTGCAGCAAACTTTTCCTCCCAAGGGTAAGAGAACAAATACTTTATGTTTTCAGGCCATGTGGTTTGTGTTGCAAATACTGCCTGGGTATTGATGATCCACGTTTGGATCTGGATCCCCTAGGTAGTGGGCTGGCTTCATCCACACCTTTGTAAACAGTGAACCTAGCGTCAGATTGCTTGGGTCTGTATTCTTGTGTTATCTCTTGCTGGCTGTGTTACCTTGAGGAAGTTAATGTGTCACTCCGTGCTGCAGACTCTGCTTGCAAAATGGAACTTTCAGAGATAGTTGTGAGAATAAAAGGAACAGTATACATGAATTTGTTTAGAGTAATGCCTGGCACAGAGAAAGAACACAGTGATCTTTGGCTATTTTTTTTTTTTAATGACTAGTCCAGAAAAATTCATTTCTTCTAAAATCCTTTTTGAAATAAAATATGAAGTTAGGATTGGATCTCTCTAAGGAGGCTGATTTGGCTGTGTGAAAGGAAATATGTTTGTGTTGTTCACAGTTTTCCTTGAACCCAAGACATTCTGTAGCTCTCCTCACCACCTTCTAGAAAGGTTCCCAGGAATGGTGCTAGGTGAGCTGGCTGCTCTTCCCCGTGGGCTCTCTAACTGGCCATTGTACAAGCAGTGCTGGTTCACACCTCCTTTCTTTCTGCAAAGCCTGGGCTGAGTAACTGAACACTTCCTGTGATCACCAGATTTTCTCCAGATGCCTTGAAATAGCTTGAAGTATCCCCAGTAAATCGCCACACAATGCAGCTCTCACCAGGGGAAGAGGAACGTGTTTGATTTCCACTTTACACAGGAGGGTAGCATTCAGTACTCCAGAGGTTACCTGAGCAGGCGAAGCACTGGGTCAGTGCGTGAATGACAGGCCCTCTCTTGGTCTCTAAGGAAGGCAGAGTACAGGTAGATGCCCGGGAGACTGGCTTCATGGAGGCCAGTTCTCATTTCCGGTGTCCTGAGGCTCTCCCCAGCGCAGACCGTGCCAGACCAGTGTGAGTAAACTAACAGCCTTCAAATATTTTCTTCATAGGTGTTTGCAAGAAACGATGATGAAACCAAACGGCAGAACAGTAACCTGTTCTCACTATTGTTTCTACTCCTTGGAATCGTCTATTTTATCGTATGTTTCCTGCAGGTAAATGTGTACATTTTTACTTTTCTCATGGTGGGGGCATCTGTAAACATCTGTGTAATTTACCCTTTAGTTGAATCGCCCCTCAGTGAACTTGACTGTTAGTTGTTCTGCATTCTCTGCCTCCCTTGCTCACTCATCCTCCCTCTCACCCCCTCCCGTGTGGAGATATCGATGAAATCTGGGAGTGGAGTGGATTGCTCGTGTGTAGTGATTGGAAGTCCAAGTGGGAGTCAAAAATGGCTTTGGGGAAACCCTGGATATGTTTACATTTATCCTGTATTGTGAAACTCCTTCATGGAACTTTTGCTAAAGGAAAAACACTCTGAAGGAAGAATGGCAAGCCTCAAGTAAAAACTGTAGGAACTGTGTATCTATTCAGATTTTACAGGTTGCATATCATTTGGCTGAAATAAAACTGTATAGCTTTTTGTGACAATACACCTGAAAATAACAAGTTAAAGGAGAAGTTTATTTTATCTATATTTTAATTTTCATTAGCATGTTTGGAGTACATAATGAATACATGCATCATGGAGAATTAGTACCTGTATGTAATTCATCTCAATTCTGTTTACTTCCCTTCTTGTCCCCTGGCCCCTCCTTTTCTGATATTAAAGTTTTAGAGATTTTATACATTCTTTTTTTTTTTTTTTTTTTTTTTTTTTTTTTTTAATTTTTTTTGCTTTTTTGAGACAGGGTCTCACTATGTAGTTGAGACTGACCTGGAACTCACTGTGTAGCTCAGGCTGGTCTCAAACTCACAGCGATCCTCCTCCCTCAACCTCCCAAGTGCTGGGATTACAGGCATGCACCACCATGTCCAGCCACTATACATTCTAGACATTAATGTATCTAAAGAGCAAATGGCAAAAATTTTCTCTACTATTCTGTAGGCTGTCTCTGCACTCTCATTTTTTTGTGTGTGTTCAGAAGCTTTAAATGTAATGTAATATCATATATTGAGTTTTTTTTCTTTTTTTGAGACAAGGTTTTGCTTTGTAGTTCAGACTGGCCCTGAACTATGTAGCCTTGGTTGCCTCGAACTCACTGTGATCCTCTTTCCTCAGCCTCGCGAGTGCTGGGATTGAAGATATGCTCCAACATGTCTGGCCATATGTTGATTCTTGCTTTTATTTCCTGTTTATTCGAATCCTATTCAGGAAATTTTTGCCTGTGCCTATGAGTGACTTCAAGTGTTTCCCTATGTTTTCATTCAGCAGTTTCAACCTTTTGGATGTTATTATTTGCTAATCCCCATTTTCAATTCATTGTTAAACAAGACATGAATAAGGATCTAGTTTCAGTCTTCTACATATAGATAATTCAGGTTTTTCAGAAACATTTTTAAAGAGGCTATATTTTGTCCAACATACACGTAGTGATTGAAAAATACAGTGAATGTTTAAATTAAACAAAATTTATTGCAGTGAAAGATACACCAGATGGCCTCTCCTACTTGAAAAATACTTATCCCATCATTATTACCACTTTCTAAATGATGGGGTATAATCAAAAGTACAGAAACTTGGATGCCCAAGGCCCCAAGTTCAATCCCCGCTACCAAAAAAAAAAAAGTACAGTGAATGGTGCTGGTGAGTGTCATCCAGTGGAAAGACAGGCTCATGAAAACATGGTGTGTCCTCATCCCCCTTAGTCACTGCATCTGGCACTATGCAACATCTGGCTCTTCCCCAAAGTCAAAATGACCATGAAAGGTGAATGTAATGAACCAACTCAGGACATGAAGACAGCATAACTAAAGAGATTCATAATAAGTCTTTGTTCACTTTGTCTGTAAAACTGTGGCTGAGTCTCTGACGATCCTCCCGTGTGACCTGTTCTTTTTCTTCATAGGGCTTCACATTTGGCAAAGCTGGAGAGATCCTCACCACGCGGCTGCGGTACCTGGTTTTCAGGTCCATGCTCAGACAGGTATGCGTGCTGAGGGCTGACCCAGGGACGTGTGGGACACCCATTGAGTCCTAGGGTGCAGTCGGTGGTGCTCAATGTCATTGCTGGAACTTGGCTCCTGTACTGCTTGTCCCTCATTGCCATCTCCAAGAGGGGACATGGGAGGCTGATGTCCTACCGTCTGTGTACTGCAGGGGAGGAGCACAAGGGTCTACACTGCTTTGAATTATTTTTTTTCCCCTGGTACTGGGATTAAACTCGGGACTTAGCACTTGGGAAGCAGGTGGTGACACCACTGAGCTAAGTCCCAGGACCCTGCACTGCTTTGATATGTGGAGCCCGCTGATTCGATTCACCTCCAGCTTTTGTTTCATCATTTATAGGGAGTGTAGGCAAAAGTGATCTTCATTGCCCCTCCTTTTTCCCTAGTCTTTCTTTCCTCCTTCCTCCAGGACCACAGGATTCTTCCTCCTCTTTTGTACAAGAGGTACCCATTGTGTTCTTCAATTCCACAAAATGAAACTTACCACCATGGCTCATTCCTCACTTCCTCATGTCTGTGAGTCAGTAGACTAACACACTACTCATGCTTGCATGTACTGACCTAATAATGACTTCATGGAAGGTCTCCCACATTTTGCATGTTTGCAACCCAGACAGCAGATAGTATGAATATTTTCTGTAGAATGGGAAGTAGGGGTGCTGGGTGTGGTGGTGCATATCTGTAATGCCAGGCATCTGTGAGGTAAGGTTTGCAATTTCAAGTCCAGCTTGAGCACTTCAGTGACTTAGTGAGACCCTGTCTTAAAACTATAAAGATTAAAAAGGTCTAGGGATGTAGCTCAGTGCAAAAACCAAGGGTTCAATCCCCAGGAGCAAAAAAAAAAGGAGAAGAAGAAAGAAAGAGACAAGATTTAGAGAACATAAAAACATTCATATTCAAACAGGAAAATATGTTTAATACTCAAGAAAATCTTATATGGAACTTAAAACTTTCATTTTTAAAATCCTT